GAAGACGACGCGGCCCCTGCGGCTGAGAAGACGACACAAGGTCAGCAAGGACGGCGAGCGGCGGAGGAGGGACAAACGGGTCAACAAACTCACATAATCACCGAGATCTAGAGGGAAAAGGTAGAGGGAGAAGGAGAGAGTAGAGAGGGTGGGGAGCACGCCGGCGGCGGCGGTTCGAGGTCACCGGAGTCAGGGTCGACGACGGCACAGTGGATCTGGTCATCTGGGAGGCGATCTGCGATGGGGTGGCGAGGCGAGAGGCGATGGCTGGGCATGGCGCAATGGACTGGAGAGTGGAGAGGAGAGGAGTCAATCGGGATTTAGGTTTAGGGTTTGTGAGGGGCGCCGGCTGCCTCGCGCTTATATGGCAGGGGGAGGGCCGGGAGGCCAAAGCGCCGTTGGTCGCCTGGGCAGCTAGCGAGCCGCGCTGGAGGCTAGCTTCTCGGCGCTGCTGCTGCTTATTACCGTGCGTGCCGGGCCGTGCTAGCCAGCTGGCTTGCTGCGACGCCTGAGCACGGCTCAGAGTTGCGTCTTGGGGCAGCCCGGCCAGAGACCCTCGTGCCGGGCCGGACTCGTGTCGGGTCAAATTAGCGGGCCGTGGGCCGGGCTACCGGGCCTCGGGCTGCATGGCCAAGTATAGGCTAGCCACACCTAGAAACCAAGCATGCCCCGAGTTCGGTTTGGATTTGGCCCATAGTGGCCCGTATTATGTATTGATATGAGAATCATCTTGGTTATTGAAGGTAGGTTAAACTAATATATAAAGGTTATAGAGTCATTACCACCATCCTGGTTAATCTTTTTACGTAAAGTGAGGACGAAAACATGAATTGGTGGTAACGTGTCGATCTGAGATATTTAGACTATGGTATTATTCCTTTTGCTTGTTACGAATATGGATCTCACATCTCAGTAAACAGTAAAGGTTCTGCAAGAAAGAAAAAAGTGACGATTTTTTTCCAGGATCTACAAGAAAGAAGAGTGATGATTCTTTGTCTAGACCATCTTGGATCCAGTTGACACTCTTAAATTCTGGAACACCCTTTGGCCCCGTTCGCTTCGCTGAAAAAACAAGCCGAAACACTGTTCCGGCTGCTTTGTTGTGAGAGAAAAACACTGTTCCGGCTAAAAAAAATAAACTGAAAAAGACGGATTATAAGAAAAATGAACAGGGCCAAAAGGAGAAATCAGAAATACACGCTAGTCAGATGCAAAGCCAGATTTTGGTGACTTATTGCAGCTCGCCTTCACACAAGTTGCATACCTTCAATTTTCTCTTTTTTGGTGCTGCTACAGGATATTGACCAAGCTTCCTATATATATAGGCTCTATTCGCTTGAGCTTATCAGTCAAAATCAGTCCTACTTTTTCAGCCATGAAACAGTGTTTTTCTCTCACAATAAATCAGCACTACAAATAAGCCACAGCAGCAATAAACTTCACTACTGCAGAGACCATGGCCACCATCAGAAGCTGTTGAACATGACCACCATCAAAGCTTGCTCTTCCAGACTTTCTTCCAGTGGCTCTCCTGCTGTGTGGTAGCTGCCTATCTACACCCTCTCCTCTCGCTTTGATTCTTCTCTGCCATCGTTCTCTTGCTCCGTCTTGAATGATGCTCATTTCTTTTTTGAACGAAATGATGCTCATTTCTATGAAGGGCTCATAGTGATGGGCTCCATTCCGGGATTAGAAGCAAAGGACAAGAACGGGAAGGTGTGCATCAAGATCTGCCTGGAAGCGAACTACATGACGTGCCCGTCCACAGGCAACGCGAAGCTCAACCCGGCGTGCAACTGCTGCCTGGCCAACGAGGACGGCTGCACCATCTGGACGGGAGAGTGAAGAAATGCCCAAGAACCTGCGCCCTGTTCGTTTGGGTTTGTTTAATTGATAAACCATGGCTGAAAGTACTATTAGCTGATTTGTTATGAGAGAAAAATATTATTCATTGGCTGAAAAAGTACGACTTATAAGTCAAACAAGTCCAAACGAGCAGGACACTGATCGGCGGCCTCTTTTGTATGGCCAAACAATAAGATAGGTCTTGATGTTGAATAAAAGGTCTCTCCCTTTTCGTACTACAAAATTGGGAGAATTTCTGTTGAACGCAAGTCATTTTGCAAAAGTAAACGAATTCTGTCATAAACATTGATTCAGTGGTTGCATATGATTCCATAATCAGGTGACTTGAAGTTACATTCAAGCATTGCTAGGCTAAATTTATATGATCACAGGACGTGCCATCAAAAATAGGAACACACAGAGTGAAACCAAAAATAAAATAAAATAAAATAAAAACTAATTCTGCTAGAAAGTTCAACATCCGGTTCAGGTGCAAACCAAGCAACTTGTGCAAACTTGAAAACTACCAATCAGGACCATTAGATGATAATCCAATGGATAGGGTGAGGGGGCTTAAGCGCAAAAAAAAACAGGCCGGCGGGTGGGGGGCTTAAGCGCAAAAAAATCTCACATCTCACCTCATCCATTAGATCAGCATCTAATGGTGTTGATTGGTAGTTTCCAAATTTACATAGGTTGGTTGGTTTGCACATGATACGTTGCCCCAGTTCAATACAGTTGAAAATGAATCGCAAGTGGTTGCTGCAGCTGCTGCTACAGCAGCACCCCTCGTCCCCTCAGCAGAAACTGTAGTAGCAAGAAGCCACAGTTGCAGCCGCTCCTAAAAAAGGGCAGCCAAGCAGTGCCATATCAAATCTCATAATTTCACAACACAACACATTGCTAGCTAAACAATGGCAAGTGAAAACTTCTATATGCACAATGTATAACAAAGTTACAATCCAATATAGCTCTGAGATTGGTCATGATTATTCATGAATCATCAAAATGTTACAACATGAAGCAACTGAGAGCATAACTCTTTTTATTCAACAATACTAAGTTCTTTAACAATTGAATGAAGTAATATTTTTCACTTGTCTTCTCTAAACTAAACTTCAAACAGTAAAACTGAGATTTACAGCCCTAGCTATTCTCATGTCAGAAGATTTAAATTTGCGTTCAAAGCAGAAATGTAGCAAGTGTAATATGCAAAGGAGATTACTTTGGTTTGTCTAATCCTACAACCTACAAGGCATGGTACAACAATGAGATTTAAGAGCACAGTTCACAAATTTCTGTACGATAAGAACAGCGTATTCAGACAATGATAATCGATTACACTCGAGATTTAGTTAGCAGAGCAATATGAGAAATATCTCACTTCATTTGGTCCAGAGGTTAAGCATGATCAATTTTCTTCCAACTTTCTACACAATGTTGCAGTGCTTGCATTTCTGAAATCTTGATGGGAAGAAATGACTTCCTCAAAGAAAATTCCCCTTAGGATACCCATGCTATGTAATCTATCTACTACCACTTTCTCCTGTGCTAGCAGCCTGCCTGCCAGGCCATGCACTCCAATGGAGCTTTTCCTTTCATCTTGGCATTCTCACCCTGTCTATATGCTGAATCTAGCTAATTATTTCAGAAACTCCATATCACAACTGTATACAGAAGAATTTGAAGACCTTAGCAATAATTCGCGGTAACATTGGTAATTCTGCAGAAACAACTAATTAGATTCACGAGTCAACTATTTTAAGCCAGCCAAAAATTACTGTTGAAACTGAAGTTCCACAAACATAGCCAAATGTTAAGCATACCCGGTTTTGATACCCAGAACATTGACTCCGAACATGGGACCTTAGCAAGGTCTCAACTATAACCATGATATAACAACTCTACATTCATATGCCCACTTGACAACCTCGGCTCAACAGATCAAAGTTACATAAAATTCTCAAACTGTGGTGCTATAAAAGTAGTTTCACCAGGCCATGACCATTCGAACTAGAAGTAGAGTCTCTAGTAGTTCAAATTTCAAACCAAATTCTGCAAAAAAATGTAACACCTATCTTAAGTAACATAGTGCCACCAATGGGATTCAAAAGGCAACTACAGTAAATTATTGTGGAAATGAACTCATTCAAGCATAATGAACAGAGTTCCCAGAAACATAAATCTGTGAACTGTTAAGCATGGCCCTGGGCGTGACTGATTCTCAATACCATTCTTGGAAACTTATGAATGGCTGGACTTTAACTACAAGATAGCCACATTGCATTCATATGAACACTTAACTTTGACTACCCCAGCAGAAACATTTCAAAATGTTATAAACGTTGTTGTGCGAAGGGCGGGCTTGATGCAAGCGGTAGAGTCTTACCGCCTATGACCGGAAGGTCCCGGGTTCGAGTCGCGGTCTCCTCGCATTGCACAGGCGAGGGTAAGGCTTGCCACTGACACCCTTCCCCAGACCTCGCACAGAGCGGGAGCTCTCTGCACTAGGTACGCCCTTTATAAACGTTGTTGTGCACATCAAAGTACTCTAGACCACAAATATTTTAGCATACTACTCCCCTCTAGATGAAAACTTCTACTACAATAGTTCATAGTTCAAACCAATTATCGAAATGACACGCAGCTCTCCTGCATTGTGCGACAATAAAAATTCTCTCCTGCATTGTTTGACAATAAAAATATTGCCAGAAATGATAATAACTCACTAAAGTACCAGTAATTGTCCCAGTGCAGTGCAGACAACTTCACCGTTCAAAGTATCCTAGCTTGCAAAACCTTACCTAAAGATATCAATTTTCGCAATGATGATTGCAACAACCACAGATCGACAAGCGAAGACCACCTGATTGCAATCCTCTCTTTAAGAAACAGAATCAGCAACAGATGGAACTCTGATCCTACAAATTCCCTATATGTCACTAGTCTCATAAAAAGCATTGATACAGAACTTGAAGCTCGATCACTAAGTCTAAGATCGTATTCCTCGAAGCCCAATTGGCCTTTGCGCTGGCAGTGAGAAGATCTCCAGTCAAATTTACGAATTATTGACCTCTTGTTCCAAAATTCTCTCTTTTTCATACAAGAAACACGAAACAAATCAAGAAACGAGGACATACACAGCCCTCGTCGTCTCACTCGAGAACAATCTTGGCGCCAACCGCTCGCATCTTCTCGGCGATACTCTCCGCCTCCTCCTTGGGAACTCCGGCCTTCAGCACGGCGGGCGCCTTCTCCACGAGCTCCTTGGCCTCCTTCAGACCCAAACTCGTGAACGCCCTGAGCTCCTTGATGATTTTGAGCTTCGCCGCGGCGTCGAACCCCTCCAGCTTCACGTCGAACGCCATCTTCTCCTCCTTGGCCTTCGCCTCCTCGCCGGCCGCCCCGGGACCTACTCCGCCGCCGACGAGCGGTGCGGCCCCGCCCGTGAGGATAGCTAGTGGGGGCATCTGGTCGACGCCGAGGCGGCCGCGTAGGGCGTCGGCGAGGGAAGAGGCCTCGAGGAGGGTGAGCCCGCAGATCTCGTCGACGAGCGCGGAGACGCGCGGGGTCGGGGTGACGGCGGTGGAGAAGGAGGCAGCGGGGAGGGTGGAGGGAGGAGCCAGGAGGCGGCGGAGGCGGAGGAGGCGGGACGTCATTAGGGTTTTAGTGGGGGAGCGAGCTGACGCCGTCGCGGACTCGCGGCGACCGGCCGGAGCGGAGCGGATCGCTTGAAGTGAAGGGAGAACGTTTCATGACTTTCATGTTCGTCACTTGAAGACAGAAGGCTGATTCTTAAAATTACGTCTACTGGATAAGAAAAGGCACATTAGATAGAGACAACCAGATTTGTGAAAGAACAGTCCACGAAAAAAGAAAATTATGTCCAGCTTGGGCCCGTTCGGCTTACCGCTGACTTGTTCGACTTTTTTTTTCAAGTTAAAATAGTATTTTTTTTATAATAATTTAGCTTGAATAGTATTTTTTAAAATTAATTTTAGCTAAAATTCAACGAGCCGAACGGAGGCAATTTGTCCTCTCGTAAATCTCCCCGCGGGCGTCCATTCAGCGCCTGAGCGACGGACGCGACGTGCCTTACGTGCTCCACGTATTTTTTTCACCGTACAAATATCTATTTCTATCAAGTGGTCAGAGTTATTCTTTTTGGTTCCATCTTCTATCTATCCTCCGTCTCTTCCAGCCTATTCGCACGCTCGTATTTGGCTTATAAGTCATGACTTATTAGTCAACAAATAATATTTTTCTCTCATACCAAACCAGCCAACAGTTTTTTCAGTCATGACTTATAAGCCAAACCAGCCCAAACGAACAAGACGTTTATTCAAAGCAACAGGAAGAGGAAGGATGTTGTGGGGCTGTGACTCTCCTTCTTGTCTCAAACTCGTGTGCCTGCTAGCTAGGAGGTGCTCGCCGTGCAGCAGGTGGTGCTCGTGCTTCGCCAGCCAAGGGTGCTCGCTAGGTAGGGGGTGCTTGCCAGCCAAGGGGTGCTCGTGCTCATCAACTAGGGGTGCTCGCCAGGCAGGGGGTGCTAGCCGCACGGTAGGCAGTGCTCGTGCTCGTGCTCGCCAGCCAAGGGTGCTCGCCAGCTATTGGGCTGCTCGTGCTCGCCAGGTTAGGGGTGCTCATCGTCTGCTGGGCGCTCGTCATGGGTGCTAAGGGGGTTCTTGCGCGAGTAGGCCGTCGTGCTCGCCAGTTGCTTTCTTGTGCTGGTGCTCATCCAGCACTGTTCTCGCGGCCTCGCGCAGTGCCTCCGCTGGGACACTGGTGAGCTCCATACGCCGGCGTCGAGCTCTGCAACAATAAGCCTCCATTTGTCCCAGCAGCAAGATGATATTGCACTGAAAGCGCATGTTATAAGAGTATGTTTCAAGTGTTTAAGATATTTTAAAGGTATGTTGTAAATGTTGTATTTCGATGTTGCAAAAGTAGATCATGATACTGCACATGGTCCACACGAATGTTGCAAGTGTTTTACCTGGATGCAAAAGTAGATCTGTATGTTGCATATATATGCATGTTGCAAACATATGTTTCAAGTGCTTTTAGGTGTTTCATACGTATGTTTGCAGGTGTTTTATATGGATGTTGCATATATTTGCAACGGTTTTCAAATAATTTTCAGGTGTTTTCGCAAATATTTCAGACCCTTGTTTCAAGTGTTTCATCTGTATTTTTTTTATGTTATAATTGTTGTATCTGGATGTTTTCAAAAGTAGATCGGGTGTTGCACGTGGAATGAGCGTAGGAAAGCGGCTGGCGGTGCGGACAACGTCCAAGGCGGCGAGAGCCCATGTTGGTGTGCTCGCTTGCGAATCCGACGCGCTAGGCGCTCGCTCGCTCCCTATGCGAACAGCGTCCGGACGTTAGCGTTCGGATCGGACATCCGGACGCTAGCAAGTCCGTTGAAAAACTTAAATGGCCAAACCAATTGTGCATTGGTTACCCGACTTGGAACGGGTACTTACAACTTTTCCAAATCTATTTTAAGAAGGAAAAAATGACGTGTTAAAGTGGAATACAATCGCAGGACCCATGTCAAGTGGTATTCGACGATTAAACATGCATGATTGTATCGGTGTAGCGGAGATGCAAATTCAAACACATTTCACATCGCTCATTCGCTCAACATCTTTCTTGTCCCAAGACTTGTAAATGCGTGTTACTATTGCTTAAATTGATTGGTTTCTCTATTAATACACGCACGATTTTTTTATTGCTTGTGTCTTTTCGAAAAAAATAGATTGATGAGGATGAGAGAATGTAGTGGGTATGTGTAACTCACTAACACTCAGTTTGTTTTCACCTATAATTTTATTACGTAATGTGGGGATTGTTCTAATTATCAATTTGGCTAGTTCAAAGTTCTGAAATGACGGTAAAAATCAATTATAAGAAACATAAACAGTCTAAAAAAGACTCATGCTTGTTCCCTAATGCTGCTGCCATGGTAACAAGCAAGCAAGGGGGATCAGACGCGGGGATGGGAATGAAATTCCAATGGATATACGTGGATCTTCTCTAGTTCAACTTGATAAAGTGTTTCCATTCCAAAATATAGGCTGTTTAGTTTTATCCCAAACAAAATTTATCTATCTTTTACTAAATTTACAGAAAAATTTGATTAATATCTAAGATACTAAATAAATGCACTATTAAGGTATATTTAACAAAACTAAAGTAGTAGTAAGACATTAGAGTGTTTTCTATAAATTTAGTCAAAATAAGTGAATTTTGATTGAGAATAAAATTAAAATAATCTACATTTTGAAACAGTTGGAGTACACTAATTGGCATGTTATTTGATGGTAAGGTGTTCGATCACAATTTGCAACTTCCCTTTTGTCTCTGCCATTTCTCTTCACGCGATTTTTTTCTTCAAAAATGTAATTTTTATGTGAAAGTAAGAAATTTGAAACAAGAATCTTTGAGAATATGCATTCGAGTTGAAATTTAAAAGAATTCAAATCTGTATTTTTTTTCAGAAATCACGCACCGTGATCGAAAGTAGTATTTTTTTTTCGACTAAAGTAGTATTAAGTTGAGCGTTGAATTTCTGCGAATACCATTGGTTGATCTGTGTTTGAACTGTCTTGCAGACGATGAAATGGCGTCACGTCATGCTGTAGTAGTTGAGCGGGAGCGTGCGATGTTTGTCGACTTGTCGTCACTTAGAAGAATCTTTAGTGCACTACTACTTGACTGGGTCTGGAATAACCATGCTGCATCCTTCCCCTGCCTCACCTAACGCAACCCAGAATGTTTGAGTAATGTTAATCTCCATCCCTGTCAAACAAATTGCGGTGTTCATGACCCTTCTGAACCGTCAACCTTGCAGTTAGTCCGCCCCCAAAAACGCGTCAATTGTCAAGCGTCGAATTTTCTCGTTGCGTAGCTAGTAGGTGACAAGTCCACAAGCTTTCGTTGAAAGTTTCCCATGCTTCCATCCAGGCTTCCCAAAAAATAGCTTCACAAACTCCAATCTTCCGTCCCTTCCAATTCCAACCTCCAAAGTTCTTCCTCCAATCTGTTCATGATTGGTCTACGGTGAAGCACCAGCATGAGCATAGCTGCGTCACCCTTAACTCTCCACTATGCAATCTCGTGCAGTAAAATTGAACATCAACCAGAAGTATAGCAAGCTCATCGGTATCCCTCGAATGATTTTTTATAGGGGCTTGATCAATTACAAGTTCCCGACACTGTCTCAGTATACAAAATTACAAATCAAAGAATGGAGTAGACATGCATGGATCATGTACAACTACTTCTCCCAAAACTTGTCGCACGAAATCTCTCCTCATGGCTCAGACAACCTCGGATACGACGACCTGCGCGGTGTCGAACTCGTGGCGCTGGAACCCCGGCCGGAACTCCCCTGCGCCGCGGACGCGAAGGGCCGCAGGACCACCGCGGCGTCGAGACCGAAGCTCCTGGCCTTCGCGGCGGCGTCGGCCGCGCCCGCCGAGGAGGAGGAGGAGGACGACGACGTCGACGCCGACTGGGTCTGCGGCGGCTTGTAGTACATGCGCGCCGTCTGCGGGCAGTGCGAGTGGAACCTCGCCGCGATGCGCACGCCCATGTCCAGCATCTCCACGTACCGAGACATCTCCGGCAGAGACCTCTCTCTCGCTCGCTGTCTCCTCTCCCGCGGCCGCAGGCCACGAGCAAGAAGGCGGCGGATCGGATGCCGAATTGCCGAGCGGAGATGTGGTTCAAGTTCGTGGGGCACGAGGACGGAATTGAGGAGGATTCGCGTGTGGTGTTATATAGCTGGCCCGCGCGAGGAGCTCGGAGCGCGTGGTGGGGTGGGCGGGTGACCAGGCGGTGTTTCGCGTGCCTTTCGTGCGGGTTTGGTCTTCCGCGCTGGGGAGTTGACTAAAAACGTGCCCTTTTGCGCTGTGGTTGGGTATTGGGTTGGGGTGTGGTGTGGCCGCGCTAGCGCTGACCCCGTCGGTCCGCGCCGGACGACCACGTAAAATTGGAGGGGGAAGCGTGGTCATAACGCAGTAGTGGCAGTACGCACTACGCACGCACTCGGCGGCTTGCGGCCGGAGTGGACGGAAGATTTCGCGCGGCCCCAGCAGCCCGCGCGACCTTTTTGGAGCTCGTTTGCCTGCCCCTTTCCACTGACTCAGCAGCGCCTCGGCGGCCGAGCGAGGAAGCAAAAATTGTCGCAGGAATGAAACGGCGTGTCGCTTTCATTTGATTTGTCTCCGTGTGTATGTACGTACTCTCCCGCCTCCACAAAGAATGTAATTCTCGTATTTTAATAAGTCAAACGATTTGCATTTTAACCAAAATTATATAAAAACGTACTAACGTTCGTGATGCAAAATTAGTATTATTAGATTGGTTATTAGTCATAGAATATATTTTCATAATAAATTTACTTGGAGACATAAATATTAATACTATTTGCTACAACCTAGTCAAACTTGAGCTATCTTGACTAGCATGCATCCCATAATTATATTCTTTCCTAGACGGAGTGAGTACGTCCACACCACTTCGTTTCCTCGGCACTCCAGTTCCAGGTGTGGAGCAGTGCTCAGGTAACAGACTGATTTCATCTCAGTTTCATTCGCATTTAATAAGATGCTATGTAGGCATTTTTTATGATGTGGCACTATATTTAAGAAGAGAGAGAAAAAATAAATTTTATAGGGATGAAACTCTCCTGAAATAGTTATCAACTCACAATGAGTCATGCAATTAAATGTCTATAAAACTCTAGAATGCAACTATATATTAAAAGTGATTGTTTCATTCAAGTTTTATTGTATTTTATTTGATGTGGCATTTTTGAAAACAACGCTACGAAAGACTGGCCTTACGTACGCGTCATGTACTACGAGCCAAGATTTGTTTTTTCCTCGTCAAATGAGTTTCTTTTCCTAGGTCCACTGCGTGCCAAATGAATGTACAGATTATTATTGGATCCCTTGCATCACTAGTGCTAAATGCGCGCCCTGCGCGCGGGCTGGCTCCACCTTTTTTTTTTTTTTGAAAACCAGAAATGTTTATGGATAACGACATGAACCAGTGAGTACCGAGATGTTTGCAGATTACAAACTTAACACACATTAATAGCATTGCTTACATAGAGTTCCAAAGCAAAGTCGAGATGTTTGATATTACAACCTAACACATTGATAACATAAGTCCTAAGATACCTGACATAAAGGTTGCAAGCGTACATAGAGCCTTTTTAAAACAACATGGCAACACTTGATAAATGTTCAATGCATCAATATTAGTTCTCCATAAAGTAACCAAGAATATTAGAATATCATTATACAAGCAAAGTAAGCTTGATCCACTCAAGATAAAGATGATCATGGGCTTTACATCCTCTCTCGGTCTGAGACCCTTGCTCATAGATTAGATCCTCCATTTCTCAGGGCATCTGAATGAAGTGTGGAGTAATAAAAATATTGAAAATGGACGCCTGCATTAGAATACAAAAAAGAGTCGTAGTCATTGTGGCATTATTACTGTAAGTTTTAGCTATTGGGTTACTTTTACACTTTAAAGTTTTGTTCCTTCTCATAACAAAATTGCATGAACTACTATGAGGACTAGGACGGCACGCGCGCCCACTATATAGGTCTGTTCTTTTGTTTTTGACGTGTAAGAACCATGACGTCGAAGAGGGAGATAAATTAGGCAACTTAAAAATTTACTCTAAACTATAGCCTCTAATTTCACCATAGCAAAACATATACAAGAAAGTAACTATCTAAATGTGCAACTACGGTTTTACGAATGTGTTGCTATCTCTACCACAAAAGAGTCTTGCAACCTAGGTTCCAACCCTATCAACTAAGCTAGAAAAGTAAAGCACACAACCTAGGTAACAATGTAAATACAGAAGGTAAAGATAAGGTAGAGATGCAAACTCCCGTCGACGACTCCGATATTTTTACCGAGGTATTGAGAAACGCTCAAGCTTCCCCATAGTCCTCGTTGGAGCCCCTCACAAGGAATCCCTCGCAAGGGCTAAGCTTTCGGTCGGGTAACTCCGTAGATAGCTCGGGCCTTTCTCACGTGCAAGTGGGTCTCCGGTGTGCCTTTCGGCAAGCCTCTCCCGGACCGTTCTCCGCCATCTTCACTATCAAGATTCTGACCGAACCGCCGCGGGCCTTGTTTCCTTCGGTACACGGTGGCGACTACACCACAAACACGGTTGGTGTGATCTCGTAAAACTATAAGCCCCTCTAATGTACAACAATGGTGCGCACAAGCACCGAGTGATAAGAGGTGTGCAAATCTCACTAAATACTAGGCCTAAACCTAGAGCAAGCGCATAAGCGGTGGTCTAATCAACCTAAGCACCTACGCTAATAACCTAATGAAGCACTAAACACTGTGCAAGTGAAGATCACTAAAATGGTGTATAACACTCTTGGTATGTTTCCTCAGCTCTGCACTCCTCAAATGGCTGGTTGGGAGGTCTATTTATAAGCTCCAAGTCGAAACTAGCCGTTGGGGGCAAAAACCCAGCTTTCAGCTAGCGACCGGACGCGGGTCACGCCTTGATCGGACGCGTCCGATCCTCTCGACCGTTGGAGCGCGCGCGTTGATCGGTCTCTAGGCCGAGTCCGGTCTCACTCAATCGAATACGTCCAGTCACGCTGGCGCCGCTCTGGAACATTTCTGGACATGATCGGATGTTACTTCTTGATGCGTCCGGTCGTCCTGCCGTCGCGTCCGGTCACGCTGAGAACGTTGTCGTGACGATGAACAATGTCACCTGTGCGTCCGGTCACTGCTTTGCTCAGCGTCCGGTCATCGCGTCGGTCACTGCGGTTGCACGGGCAACGACCGGACACGTCCGATGCCTTCGTGGCAGCGTCCGGCCGTCTCTGCCGAGCCCCTTCTTCATTCGTTTCTTCGCGATCCTTGCGTTCGGCTTTTCCAATCTTTGTGCTTGGACTTTACTGATCTTCTCTTGTGCTTCTAGGGTCTTGTTTATGATGTCGATCGTCAGATCATCATGTCGTCTTCGTCCAAGTCACGTCTTGCACCCTATTGAACTACAAAACAATTAATTACAAATTCATTAATCCAATTTAGTTATGTTGGTCATCAAACGCTAAAATCCAAAGTAAAATGGACAAGGGTTTATTTTTCTTACATGATGTATGAACGCCATGTATGCATGCTGCTGGCGCATGCGTTAGATTATTTGCCAGCCTATTCTGTCATGCTATGATCTTCTCATGTTGGCCATAGCGACATGTGCTTGTTGGTTTTAGTCAGCTATACGTTTTCTAATTTGTCTCATAAATTGTACTCACAGTTTTGAGTACTGTGTAGTTAGAATACAAAGTGACTAGACAACAAATGTTCGACTATAATAGTAATCGACCTTTCTCATATAGGCAAAAAAAAAAAACTTTCAGTACAATTGTATCGGTTATACCTAAAAAATTTGAAGATGGTGTCATTATCAACGAAAGATTAAGGTGCATAATAAACATGTACAAATGGACCGGCAAGAAATACGGTCAAGAATACAACATTCTTTCCAATGAAGCAAATATTGCACATCCTTGACATAAGCATGTCATCTTCAAACGCTGAATTTACGTAAGTATCGCATCTCGCAATGCTGAATTCTGAATCTTCCTAGGCTCCTAGCCTCATAGTGACCCAATCCTAAAGATGATGCCATTGAATCCAACAATTTCTGTCTAACAAAAAAAAAAGGGCGTACCCAGTGCAGAGAGCTCCCGCTCTGTGCGGGGTCTAGAATTGACAATCTGCATAAATCATGTATCATCTTATTGCAGGAACGTAACGATATAATCACTATCAGGGCATTATGCGTAACATACAGATATGTCAGGGAAGTTGAGACAAACAGGGGAAGCCTCTTTGGTTGTTGTGAATTTAAACTTCAACAGAATTTAGTTTGATTATTATGATTACAAAATGCTATATGGCTTTCATGTAAATTGTTCTAAAATTGTAATTTGTTCAATAAATGAAAAGGAAAAGTAAACATAAGAAACTGTTGGAACCATGACAGGAATATACGACATTATTACATACATGATGACTTACCATGGCATTGGCCATTCCCATGCATGCTGGTGTCAAGAATAGAAGATTCTCCTCTCCCACACCAGTGCAGTGCCGGGAAAGATGGATAGATAAATATAGTAGATAATAGATATGTTTGGACTTGCAACAATTCAGAAACACAGGACCTGATTGAGGTTCACATGAAAATAGATATCCCAGCTACTGAATTCAGTAGACTATGTCTTTAAAATGTGCAGGATCCAGATGACACAGTTTAAAAGTACATTGCTCAATTCCTGCATCCCAACAACTTACTGCAGGCACCTACAGAGCGAAGCATCAGCAACATTGCTTCATCTATGAGCTATTCATCAATTTCATAGAACTAATTAACGTATTCGTTAGTTTTTGCAGAGCAGTAACAACACGAAAAATGAGCAGTACTCCTATCAAACAGCAAAAAATTCAGTCCACACCATGCATCAGTTACTAATAAAAAAAGAGGAAAATATACATATTCCAACCTGATACTTGAGGAACAGCCTCTCCTTGTTGCACCTTGTTTCTTGTAACCTGGAAAGTTCAAAAACAGAGTTTTCATCAAAGCTGGTCATATATACATCAAATACTTCAGGGAAACAAATTGAGTTGCTGCCTGTCTATCTTAGAAATAGGGTAGTTATTCAAAAAATTGAGATAGCAGAGGATTATGGAAGAAGAAGAGACCGTGGATGCCTGCGTCGAGACGGAGTGACCGAGCGCAAAGAGCAGGCGACGGATACAACGGAGGCGCTGTCCGCAGGCGCAGCGGAGAAGGCGGAGGCAGGCGTGGAGACGGAGCCAAGCGACCGAGCGCAAAGAGCAGGCGGCGGATACAACGGAGGCGCTGTCCGCAGGCGCAGCGGAGACGGCGGAGGCAGGGACCGCAGCGGCGGCGGAGAGGACGGAGACCCGCACTGTGGCGGCGACGGCGCGTGCGAGGCTAAAGACCCGCACCGTCTGGGGGAACGATGGCACCGAGTGCGGAGCCGTGATGAATGCACGGTGGGCCAACTGGAATAGGAAAAGAGAGGAAGGTAAGGCCCAATCGCTGTGGAAGCAAGGAGTCCACGCAGGGACGCAGAGGCCAGCTCGGGAGGAGGCACGCGTCTAGTTCGCAGTAACGCGGCGGCCGTAAAATAATACGCGCATTTTAGTTTCTTTGGTAAGATGAAGCCGCACGCAAGCATCCGGAGGGGAGGGAATCCATACGGCATAAGGAAGTTACGCCTTGTTTAGTTGGACTTCAAAGTTTAAAAAGTTGCTATAGTACCTGTCACATCGAATGTTTGCGGCCCGTATATGGAGCATTAAATGTAGACGAAAATAAAAACTAATTGCACAGTTTGGTGGGAAATTGCGAGACGAACGTTTTGAGCCTAATTAGTCCATGTTTGAATACTATTTGCCAAATAAAAACGAACGTGCTACAGTAGCCCCAAAATCCAAATTCACCCAACTAAACAAAGGCTTAGTATGTATTCCAAATATTAGCCGCTCCTCGCTACAAAAATGAGGCAACACTATGCTTCAAATAGAAACAGTGCCATAGCATCTACGGTTTTAAAAAATGAGGCACTGAAGGCATAGGAACCATATTTGCATGGATTAACGTGGGCTCATATGTTTTGAGGACTATACAGTACATGAATCTAATTGATAGAGTTCCATTTCCGAAGTATGCATGCTAGGTAGAGAAGGAATAACCTGATTAGGTGGAAAATTGGTGACTAACATATGAGGTAAAATAACTCCAAAGCATTGGAGCATACGATCATAAGTTCATAACAGTTTGGCATGAAAGTAATTATAGAACTGATACACAAATGTACCAGATATTTAGACATCATTCTACCTAGCAGCAAAGAACTCCTCGACTCGGAGAATTAAAAGGGTTGCATATTCGATTTCCCAAAAGGAAAGGATGTCCCAAAACAAAGCCTATGCCTACAAAATTGATCCAACAAAGTGAGTTTATTAACAGACCTCAAGTTTCATTGGATGTCTTAATAAAAGAAATTTAACTAATTTTATAACAGAGTAACTGATGGCATATACCATTATTTTACTAAAGATTTAGCTTCCACAGCACAAAACGGTAAAAATTGGAATCAAACTACAAATTCAATCGCCAAGGAAAAGATATCCCAAAACAAAGCGTACACCTACAAAATTGATCCAACAAATTAAGAGTTTACTGCAGAAAAAACAGACCCCAAATTCTAAATGGATATCTTAACAACAACATAACTACAAAACGACACGAGAAGGCCATGAGATCTACACATCCTTGTTAAAGCAACTGGAAGTATATGCTAACACAAACAGAGGTTTAAGACTTTACTATATATATAATCTTCATGACATGAAATCACAAACAACTAAATTTATTATACTGCAGGGGGGCATTGTTCTATAATTATGGAAGGGAAGTAAAGAAAGGTATAAAATCTAAGATCAAGAGAGGAATATACAGGAGGTACAATTCTGTGAAATGTACGCAGCTATATAAACACTACTACAGAATGTTACTGTAGGGGCGGCTGCGCCAGCCGCCCTTCCCAGGGTGTTACTACAGAGGGTGCCTCTGTAGGGACGGTTTCCTGACCGCCCCTGCAGTGCCCTCTGTAGGGGCGGCTGGTGTTTTCAGCCGCCCCTACAGTGGACTTCTGTAAGGGCGGCTGTATCACCGGCCGTCCCTGCTGTGTGTATTTGTAAGGGCGGTTCAATCAAGAACTGCCCCTACAGTGGATTTTCCATAAAAAAAATAATTCAAATTTAAATCTGACCACATATATATATAGTTCAAATTCGAATCTAACCGTCACAAATATACATATATACATCCACAAACATAAGACCATTATTTAGAACATCATCACAAGTCATAATTCACAAAAGTATCAACTACAGCGCTAGTCGTATGTCACGGTTTCACAAGTGTGACGTGCATATACAAATTACACGCATCAATTGGTTGATCAATGCAATCATACAATGGCAGTGTTGAGGAACTCTTTCCAACAAAATAGATGAAAACTTTCGACATATTAAACGAAAGATCCAATAAACACTTCAGACACCGATTAGCACAATGGTTTACCACATAAATTTTTAGATCCAGACTCCTGTGAGGAAACAAGTTCAGAACTTCAAAATACTAAAGTACAATCAAGTACATAAGCCAACATAGCAAATAACTTTGTCTCGGGTACAAATCACAAGCCAGAGAGTCCACCGGGCATGTTAAGTAGATCCATTAGAAGCATTGCCGTAGGGTTCTCTATCTTCTCCTCGAACCAACACTTGAGCTCACAGCAAGTCACAAGCACAGGCAAACGATACAGATAGAGTCAAGGGATAAAAGGCTTTACCTGCCGGATACACAATGCCACGGGTTCCTTTTACCTGACGCGTCTAGGGGAAGGTGAACTGCTGCTTCGGCTGTCACTAGAGATGCTTCTTCCTCTAGGAGGCCTGCAAGCAAGAGATACTTTCAGTTATGGAATACTCTTGGCATATGCAAAAACACCAGAAAAAAACTATCATTACAAAACAAATACATATGTTACCTTCTAGGGCTGCGGCTCCTTGATACCCTTCTTGGACCCTATACAAGAAACACATTAAAGCACTTAGTCAATATTACCATGCATGCATGACTAGTAACAGAGGGGGGAAACAACATTACTTTGTGTTTGATACTACAAATACCATATCAGTTGTAGCACTCACCTTTCTTGGCGGTGGAGTAGGTGATCGAGAATATGATGAGTCTGACCTACCACGCCTCAACGGAGGCCCTCGTCCCCTGCGTTATACAAGAGAATCAGAATTGTCAGGGTGCAAAAGAGGAACAGCATCAGCTGGTAGATTTTGGCAGATCCACTACCTTCTTGGAGAAATTGATCTGGAGTGGGAGCGAAGGGGTCGGCGAGGAGGAGAGCGACGTGGAGGTGGTGGCCTTCTTGGTGGGCTCCTCAACCGCCTTGGAGGTGGCGAGCTAGAGGGGGGAAAAGAAGGAATGAGCACAGCAGTTAAGCAAGCATAATAAGGCAGAGGACTAAAAAAGTCAACAAAACTTTAATACGAACCCAATACATGAAAAATAAAAGGGGCAAAACAAGTATCCAAATACTAGAAGTGTAATGAGTACAAATCTTAGAAACCAATCACAGGATCATGCGTAGAACATCAATTAATTATAAACATGGGATACATATATCTAATCCACTTGTATTATCTAAAAAAGGTACATCTAATCCACAGCTATGAAATATAAAATAGAGAATACTTGATACATTTAGCAGGGATAGGCACGTGTAGTCCACAGCTATGGAATATAAAATAATCATGAGCTGAACAATTAAATCACCATGAGCTGAACAATTAAATCATCATGAGCTGAACATGCACCTTCAGGGGGGGAGTTCTTTGATACGAGCAGAAGTAACAAGCGAAGAAAAAGGAATAGTGATTATATAGTTTCAAAGCTTCAGAAGCTTACATTCCCTAGGACGCTGCTGGGCATCCTTTTCAGCACTGCTAACACCTTTTTCAATCTGGGGAGCATCTCTTTTTGGAGGAGGGGGCGGAGCTTTCATAGGTGATGCAGCCCTTTGGCGTGGTTGAAGAGTGAATCTCAACTTAACAACATTTCCGTCAATTTGACCCTGGACAGATTTTTAGAAGAACTTGTTGGTCATTTACTTTTCAACAAAAAAGACAGAATAAGCATAGGGTAGAATGCATACACCATCCATGTAAAGAAGAGCCTTCTCAGCATCATCTCTCTTCTTGAATTAAATATATCCATAGCCACGCGGAAGGTTAACCTAAAAAAACAAATAGTAGGTGTTAAGGAGAGCACAAGGCACAGATCCCAGAATAAGAGAATAAGAGAGCAACACATTCACTTACCATTCGGTCCATTGATAGCTCCACATTCACAACTTCGCCAAAGTTTCCTGAAAATACAGATAATTACTCGAATATAGTGTTTGGATTCATTTGGCAACATTATGTAAGAGTTTTCAAAAGCACTTGTTTATTTTTAATTTGTATGTAAGAGTTTGTTAAATGCACATTATGTCTGGAACAACAGTAAAATCCTACTAGAATCAGCAAGCCAGTTGGCCGATTACTATAGAAAGAGGATCATCCCCACTGCATGAGGCTACCAGTGGGAAGATCAGTGTGTTTAACCAACCTAACATGTGTACATCATGCAACACATGATTGTTGGAGTTAGATACAAAAATATATAATGGCTGCAACCATAATGTAGATCAGAGAAATTTGAATACTAAAATGCATATATATCGATTTTCCCTAAACGCTAAGAGGATACCTGTTTCTTCTGTCTACTCTTGAGTGAAATTACAATCAAACGAAACTACAAGTTCCAACAAAAGCAAATGAAAACAGCCACGGTGATATCACAAGACATCTAATGAATCTCTGGAGCCAACAGAACACCGAGCCCAAGTGTATAAGTAAATGGGCACAGAATTGTTACAAAGGCACGTAAAGTAGCTGGACCAATTGTTTCACCTAATCAAGATGATTACAATCATTTTAAAGAGATTTTATTATCCTGTACAAATCAAGAGATGGACAAAAGAAGGGGAAGAGAGCGCTACCACTGTAATATTTGCAGCATAAAAAAGTTTTGGTTAGTTCATTTACAAAGTACAATCAAACAGATCAGGCCAATTCTATATAGTATAAGGGTTCGATCATCTATGACAAACAACTCTCATTTTTTCCCAGAAAGAATGTCCATCTACAGAGTGAATGAACCTGACTAGTCATCGACAAGCATTGTATTATTTAGAAGAAAACCAAAAGGAAACGAGAACATCCCCATATACACCAAGGCCGTTCTCGTCCCAACCTATCAACCAACCAAGCGCTAATCCACCAAAGCTAAAAAAACCATCCAAACTGCCTTATTTCCCTCAGGGTAGGAAATCTAACCCTAATACCATGCCGCAGATACAAAACAATCTAGGTCGAAGACAGACATTCACATGAGCAAGAGGGATATGAACAGGCGGCTCACTATGGAGGTGATGTACTCCTCGAACGACTCCCGATACTTATCGTAAAGCTACTGCGAGTAGTCGTGTGGCGGCTTCTGCGTTCACATGTTGTATATCGTCCTACGACAAGGGAACCAAAACCCTAGATCAGAACCGGATCGAAGCGGATCGAGTTGGGAAACCCTAGCGGCCACCGCCGCGAAGGCGACGGTGGCGAGGAGGAGGAGGAGGAGGGAGGGGAGAGGGAGACGTACGTGTAAAGCATCATGTAGTCCTCGGAGCTGAACTGCGGCTCTGGCTTGCCCTCGAGGATGTTCTTCAGCTTGGTGATGCCCTTCTGCATGACCGCCCATCCCTCCTCCAGATCGATTGTCCTATGCTCCTGCCCCGCCATCGCTGTAGGCGGAGGTTGCGGTGCCGACACGCGGAGAAGCAAACCTTAGTGCCGCCGCTGGGGGTTTGGTGGTGCGCCTGGGGAGGATGGCGAGCGCGAGAGGCGGAACGGGGGGAGGAGGAGAGAGGCGAGCGCATGGGCGTAAGGAGAGGGCTGGGATGGGGGTTCTGTTGTATACCGCCGCAGCGCCGTGGCTGACCGCCTTCCAGGCGGCCCCCTCCTCGTCGTGTGATTTAGACTCTGTCTCCGTCGTCCGATCGCGAGGTGGACGACCCAGATGATGAGCCTTGCGCTAGATGTGGATCATTATATGAAATCAAATCAAACTATAAAAATAATTTTAAGACACCAAATGATCTTAAATGAAAATTTGATAAACATCAAAGTTGTAGAGGTCATGAAGATCTACAAATTTTATTTTGGTCATCTTGTCATTTGACAAAATTTGAATCTTTTAAATTTGAAATTTTAAAAAATGACAAGTTCGAACCAAAATTTGAGACCCAAAATGATTTCAACATAAAAAGTGATGAATACCAAAGTTGTTGAACTCATTAATATCTACAACTTTTATTTTAGTCATCTTGTCATTTGACAAAATTTGAACATTTCAAATTTAAAATTTTGAAAAACGACAAGTTTGAACCAAAATTTGAGACCCAAATTGATTTCAACATAAAAAGTGATGAATACAAAAGTTGTTCAACTCATGAATATATGCAACTTTTATTTTGGTCATTTCTTTATTTGACAAATTCTTAGCACACATTGTTCACTAATCTTACACATGTCTCATATAGTTTATAAAACCTTATGAGAGATGTGTCACATTTGTGAATAATGTCATTACCACTTTGTCATATGAAGAAATGACCAATACAAAAGTTGTAGATCTTGATGAGTTATTCAACTTTGGTATTTATCACTTTTTCAGCTAAAATCATTTATGGTACCAAAATCTTGTCTAAAGTTGTATTTTTTTGAAATTCAAAATTTAAATTGCTCAAACTTTTCATATGTATATATGGACAAAGCCAACAAAATAAATTGATAGAGAATGATTTTAGAAAATTTTAGGGAAAATCATCAGATTTAGAGTCAGTATGAGAAAAAAAAACTAGTTACAAAGTTGACCTACAGATAAAAAAAAAATCACACTGTTCACTATGATCATGTAAGGATCATCTAGAACAGTGTGATTTCTCTTTTTAATCTGTGGGTAAACTTAGTAACTAGTTGTTCTTCCTTATACAAACACCAAATGTGATGGTTTTTTTTTTCTAAAAATTTCTAAAATCATGTTTCAGCATTTAAGTTTGATCAAACTTGGATGTGACAATGTTTTACACATTTTAAAATTTAAAATTTAAAATTTGACAAGTTCAAACCAAATTTTCAAACCCTAAATGATTTTAGATGTAAAAGTGATGAATATAAAAGTTGTTCAACTCATCAAGATCTACAACTTTTATTTTGGTTATCTTGCCATTTGACTAAATTTGAACCTTTTAAATTTGAAATTTTAAAAAATGACAAGTTCGAATCAAAATTTGAGACCCAAAATGTTTTCAACATAAAAAGTGATGAATACCAAAGTTGTTCAACTTATTAATATCTACAACTTTTATTTTAGTCATCTTGTTATTTGATAAAATTTGAACCTTTCAAATTTGAAATTTTAAAAAACAACAAATGGGTATAGCAGGGGCGGCTGGTGATTGAGCCGCCCCTACAGATCAGCCCCAACTGTAGGGGCGGCTCAAGTTACCAGCCACCCCTACAGTGCCATCTGTAGGGGCGGCTGGGCTGCTAGGGCCCGAGGACGCCCACTGTAGGAGCGCCCCCCAACCCCAGCCGCCCCTACAGTAAAAATGCTCCCGTTCCTACAGAGGGAATCTGGCGTAGTGAAACCTACCTCTCCAGTAGTCAGTGGTGTGTAGACATCGTGGACAACATGAAGATATCTTTCTTATTGAACCAGAGGCACTGAAGTAGGAAATGGGACACATGAGATTATTGTTCCATCCTAATAATATAAACAAACCATAAGCACTGTCCACTACTGGAAACAAAGCCTTTGCCGAGTGTCAAAAATAGGGCACTCGGTAAAGACCTTTTTTGCCGAGTACCGCACTCGGCAAAGAATTGCACTCGGCAAAGGACTTCTTTATCGAGTGTTAGGCTCTCGGCAAAAGCGCGACACTCGGCTTAGGCTGCCCCATGTAACGGTGTTCGGCCACGTCTTTTTTTGCCGAGTGCCTGCTGTTAGGCACTCGGCAATTTTTTTTTGAAAAATACTTTGCCGAGTGCCGCTGACACGACGCTCGGCAAAGATTCAATATTTTTTTGAAATGCCTTTTCCGAGTGCTCCTGTGAAGGCACTCGGCAAAGAGGAAATTTCTAAAAAAAATAAAAAAATCCTCTTTGCTAAGCACCTTATTCTTGACATTCGGCAAAGACCCCCTTTGTCGAGTGCCGTGCCCCGGCACTCGGCAAAGTTTTTTTTGTTTTGTTTTTTGCCTCCAAATTTTTTGTGCAGCCCTTTTAAAGTACCAGAAACTCCTCGTTAGAATTTGGAGATTTTTTGTGGCTTTTTTATATATTTAGTTACTTTATTTCGTTTACTTGAATTTTTTCGAAAAATATAAATTTGAACTGCACGTGGTACGAATAATGGAATTTAATGATTCAAAAAATGATAGTCATGTTACTGAGTGTAGTGTGAGGCCGTATCTAGGAACGGATCCGAAATTTCGTACATCTTGTTCACGAAACATGACCGCGAACTTGCGTGCGAAGTGTTTTTAAATTCTATAAAAAGCAAACGAAGTCCGAAATCATGAAACTTGTTGAGATGTCGTGATATCGTATGTGGAGGCTATGATAAAAAATTCAAAATTTTTGTGCATGTTGTCACGTACGATGCTTACAAACCAGGACATCTCTACATGTGTCGTGATATTGTATGTAGAGATGTCTTGGTTTGTAAGCATCGTACGTGACAACGTGTACAAAACCTTTTCAATTTTTTTATCACAGCCTCCACATATGATATCATGACATCTCAACAAGTTTCAAGATTTTTGGTCTTCGTTTGTTTTTTATAGAATTTAAAAACACTTCGCACGTAAGTTCGCGGTCATGTTTCGTGAACAAGATATCCGAAATTTCGGATCCGTTCCTAGATGCGGCCTCACACTACACTCAGTAACATGACTATTATTTTTTGAATCATTAAATTCCATTATTCGTACCACGTGCAGTTCAAATTTATATTTTTTGAAAAAATTCAAGTAAATGAAATAAAGTAACTAAATATATCAAAAAGCCACAAAAAATCTTCAAATTCTAACGAGGAGTTCCTGGTACTTAAAAAGGGCTGCACAAAAATTTTGGAGGTAAAAAAAAACTTTACCGAGCGCCGGGGCATGTCACTCGGCAAAGGGGGTCTTTGCTGAGTGCCAAGAGTTTGGCGCTCGGCAAAGTTTGTTGAGTGCCAGGACGGCTGGCACTCGGTAAATAATTTTAATTTTTTTAAAAAAAACCCCTCTTTACCGAGTGCCAGGCCGGATGGTACTCGACAAAGAATTTAAAAAAATTAAAAAAAATACTTTGCCGAGTGCCCTATCGGGGACACTCGGCAAAGATTTTTTTTTAAAACCTCTTTGTCGAGTGCCAGATCGGGAGCACTTGACAGAGAATTAAAAATAAATAAATAAAAATATTTTGCCGAGTGCCAGATCGAAGGCACTCGGTAAAGACAGATTTAACCTAAGAGAGCCAGAGGAGCTACCAAAGCCGAGCCGCAACCACAAAGATCTTGCCTGGCCTCCTTTTCTCCCAGCTCGTCACTGTGCCGCTCGTGCCCTCCACTCCCCCGATCCTCCAGATTTTTTTAAGTTTAAACCTTTTTTAAATATAATTTTAAATTTAACACCGTCGGTTTTTTTAAACTAATATTTTTGGCCGCGCCTATTGTCCTAGCGCGGCCAAATGCCTATGCCGCGCCATGCATGGTGGCGCGGCAGCGAGCTGACGTGGCGACGACCGAAATCGCTGACTGCTGACGTGACAGAGTCTGTCGCGCCACCGATCTTGGCGCGGCAGGGAGCACAACATCCCCTGCGGTCGAGTGTGGCCAGGCGAAAAGCAAAGGTGCCAATATGCGGTTGACAGCACACACCCCTACGGTCCCCAGCGCATGCACGCGCTCCTGTCCTGTGTGGCTCTCCCTCTCGTAGAGTGCAAGCCACTCTTTCTCACAAAGTCAAAGGAGCAGCAGTATGCAAGCGAGCCCCGCGGCTATTCCAGGCGCTCTCTCACCAGAAGGAAACGGAGCAGGCAGCACCTCCCAGCCCCTCGTCACGTCGTGTCCCTGTCACGTATGTTTCCTACACCACTGCACGGCTGCCAGCTGGCACGTTGTCTCAGAGCGCAGTAGTACCTGCTGCCTACTAGTACGCTGCTTGCATTGTCATTTTGCTCGATGGGTGACTGATGAAGTGATGATGATAATATATGTATTATTATACTCCCTCTCAAGCGTTTCTGTAAGAAATAGGTACTGTTTATATTACTCCAGTGGTGACAGTATACTACCTCTGTTAAAAAAAAGAATGTAACTATGCCTTGCATGTCAGTTAAATTAGTTCACATTTTACTAAGGGCACGTTTAGTTCGCGAAAATTTTTGGGTTTGGCTACTGTAGCATTTTTCGTTTGTATTTAGCAATTAGTGTCTAATTATGGACTAATTAGGTTCGAAAGTTTCGTCTCGCGGTTTCTCACCCAACTGTGCAATTAGTTTTTTTCGTCTATATTTAATGCTCTATGTATGCATCCAAAAATTCGATGTGATGAGTAAAAATAAAAAAAATTGGAACTAAACGCGCCCTAAGTTTCTAATGAATGTTACATGGCTTGGGCGCATGGACCGACTTGCATGCCTGTGCCGCTTCCCTCTCTACTCTACTCCCTCCGATTCTTGGTAAAAAATGGCTGCAAGCACTACACATCCTGTGCCAGCACTTTCCTACAGCCTGTTCGGTTGACTGGTTCATATTGTTGCTGGTTCGTGAAGAAGTACTGCTGGCTGGTTTGTGTGAGAGAAAAATAATGTTCCGGCTAAAAATTTACGATCGTTTACAACAAACCACAGCCAAACGAACAGGCTTAATGTGCATTGATTGTAGACCGTGGTGATTGTAGACCACGCCAGCACCGCTCTTTCAGACATGCAGTGTCGCAGACCAAGTAGCTGGCTCCTATGCCGTAGGTATGGCAGCACAGCATGCGACTGCTGGCTCCGCCCACATCCTCTCTCTTCGGGTGGCGAGCCCTTCATTTTTTAAAAAGCTAGCCCTGCGGTCAAAGCCTGTCCAATTGCTCTACAGGCCTACAGCTAACAAGTCCGGTCGACGTAGGAAGTGACCGCGGCGCTGTGCAGGGTTAAATAGTAGGAAGCCGGCGTAGGAAGATAGCCTTGTGGCTATGCATTCAAGTAGTGTTGTGCATTCAAGTCAATCTCTGCCGCGCCGTGATGGACGGCGCGGCAGTGCCGCGCTAACATCGGTGGCGCGACAGACCCTGCCACGTCAGTGGTCAGCGATTTCAGTCGTCGCCATGTCTGCTCACTGCCGCACCACCATACATGACGCGGCACAGGCATTTGGCCGCGACAGGACAATAGGCGCGGTCAAAAGTGTTAGTTAAAAAAATCGACGGTGTTAGATTTAAAATTATATTAAAAAGGGTTAAAATTAAAAAAAAAATCGTCCTCCACACCAATAATCCATCGACCACCACCCCACTGCGGCGATGTGCGGCGGCGCCATCCTCTCGGGTTTCATCCCGCCGTCCGGGGTGGCGGCGGCGGCCGCCAAGAAGAAACAGCAGCGGCATGTGACGGCGGACCTGCTGTGGCCAGGGCCCGGCAAGAAGGGAGCGCCCCAGGAGGAGGAGGACGCCTTTGAGGCCGACTTCCGCGAGTTTGAGCGCGGCCTCAGCGAGGATGACGTGGACAGCGCGGGCTAAGGCGCCGCGACGACGAGGTCCAGGAGCTTCCTCCGCCGGAGCCGGCGAGGTTTGCCTTCGCTACTTTTTTTTTCTCTCGTTATATATGGCACGCACACTGCTTAAGTGCTTAGACGGGCGAAAGAAATATGACCTCTTTTGCGGCGCTGTTTCTCGAATCTCCTTTGGATGATGAGGAGAGAATCGGGGTTCCATGGAGCTGCGGGTGCTGCCAAACAGGGCTTCTAGGTGCAAGACGAAAATTTTATCTTCCATTCTTTTGGTTAGCCTTAGCCATGGAGTGGGCAAGGCTGTTCAGGCTTTCAGTGGGAACTGATGGCTGCCTTGGTACTTCGTATGCAATCCGCTAGCTGCTCTGTCTGGAGTAACATATTATGCTACAAATGAAGGAATTATTTACTACTAGTTCTTAAGGTAGTCCATGTGCTTTGCTCTGTGTTGTCTATATCATTGTGCTAACTCCAGATTTAAGCAAAGCAGATTTGTTGATTATTTTTTATGATTTTACGATTAACATAAATGATCTATTGAACAATTATGAAAATAAGTACATGTCTTGTTAGGGTATGTTGAGTTTAGTTGTATTCAGATTGGGCGTCTTACTCAGACTGATGTTTAGTTAATTTCAGAATAATTTCTGGAATTTTTCCTTGTTAACTGTTATCTCCTTCCAGATGGTTACCTTTAGTTCTGAACTTCTTTATCTGTCAATTTTATTGTTTAAATCCAGGTTATGCTAATTTATTTATTTATTTATTTTGGGAAGGGGGGGGGGTGCCAAGACAAGAATTTAATTGCTTCTAATTTCTAATTTACATGTTCATGATTCTGAAGTTAATTAGTTAAAAAAGGGTATTCTAATCTGTGTTAATTGAAGATCTCGATGGATCTTCAAAGGTCACTGATTGCAATAGATCTTGAAAATTACTATATGTTCTTCTTGTAGTGCAACAAGCTGTTTTATTGGCAGCATATGCTCATGGGCAATTTGTGTACCAGAGATTGCTTCTACTCTTCATTTGTCTGAGAAAAGGACATTATTTATGCTTCAACCTCTTTGTTGTTCGAACAAGCTACCTACAAGTAGAGTACTTATTTGTTGATTACAAACAATTCATGCTAGATGTGGATGGTGTCCATCTCCTAGTCCACCTCCGCCTCCGCGTCCTGCAGCTGCAGCTATTCCTGTGAGTATGAAAGTTTTTTACTTTCGCTTGTGCTTTGCTTGTATGGCCTCTACCTTCCTAGATTAGCTATCCAAATAATCTCGTCTCAAATGCAATTTTTTCTCCTTTGTGCAGTCTCCATCTGACGGTGATTCGAATAATCCACCTCATGCACCTCCGAATGATGGAGCTGGGCCTTCACCACAGTCGCAGTGGCCGAGATGAGTGCACGTTGTATTTTTTTCATTTGTTGTTCACTTAGTGATGGGCTTGTGATATACTTGTGATGCACTTGTGGACTTTGATGGACTTGTGGATTTATTTGGATGGACTTGAGCACTTATTATTATATATGTGATATATATTGTGATGGATATGATACGTGCGGATGGATGTGTGGATGGATGAGATATATATGTGATATATGTTTGTATGAATTTATTTGTCATGATGGAATGTAAAAAAAAAATTTGCCGTTTTGGGTCACTTTGCCGAGTGTTGCACTCGGCAAAGGATCTGTTGCCGAGTGCCATGGTCACAACACTCGGCAAAGCTGGAAAAATGGACGCTGGGAATACCATTTTTCCAGCTTTGCCCAGTGCCATGACCATGACACTCGGCAAAGAATTTTTTTTAAAAAAAAATTCAAACTTTGCCGAGTGTCGGCCAGAAAGCACTCGGCAAAGATTTTTTTTAAAAAAAAAATCAAACTTTGCCGAGAGCCGACCAGGGGGCACTCGGCAAAGAATTTTTAGAAAAAAAACATCTTTGCCGAGTGCCGGATAGAGGGCACTCGGGAAAGATTTTTTTTAAAAAAGAATAAAAAATCTTTGCCGAGTGCCTGCAGGGTTGGCACTCGGCAAAGCGACCGTCAACGGGGCCAGCGTCGTGACGGTCGCTTTTCTTTGCCGAGTGCCTCCGGGGCTCTTGGCAAAGTCTTTGCCGAGTGCCCGATAAAAGACACTCGGCAAAGAGGGCTTTGCCGAACAATTTTTTGTCGTGTGTTCTTAGCCGAGTGCAATTTGGCCTCAAAAATCTGAATCCAGTTGTGACCGTGATAGCAGTTGTGACCGTGATAGTACGAGTGAAAGGGTGATTCATTTCATAAGAAGATGGCCATAATTAGGACCGTAGCTATGAGGAGTAGACAGAAATTTTCTATTGTGATGACGACAGAAGCCCCCAAGATCGCAAGAAGAGGACTGAAAGTATCAATGCATTTATCTGAACACCATATGTTGCCCATCTGTCTTGTTAATTAATTTCTGGTAGCCCAACAATATTGCTCTGAGGGCCATGAGCAGGTAAATCATGAACTACCTAGAGATTTTTAAGTTTGCATTTTTCTTGTACAGATCATATCCCACACCAACGTGCTTAACCTGTAATTGAAACAATATGGAACCACCATTAACTATGGATGAGGGTCATGTATACGTAGCACAATAGGAGCAGACAAAACTAAGTAAGGCAAAGTGAACTACCACACCAAAAAGAGACATATAATTGAACATGTAGGACGCAATTTTCTCCTGCCCTATAGATGACGAATTGAGGAGCTTGTTGTCAAAGTTGCGCACACCGGCAAGTGCAGCCCTTGGAGGCTCAGAACTGTTTGAAGTTTAATCTTGCTTACTCATTACATTTGTTCCAGCTGGGTTTTTACAGCTGTGACCAACTAACAATACTAACCAATCTCCAATAATCTAGCTAACCAAGCAATTCCTCAACCATCTAACTATGCAAACAAAGACCAAATCAACTCTCCAATAATCTAGCTAACTGAACAACACTAATAGTGGGTTTTGGAGGAGGAACCAAACATGAAAAACATATCTTTGGCTAGAATTTCAGAAACACAGCTTAACTGCCACTACGAGAGATTTGGCCTTTTATGACAATTTTCATATGACAAAGCACTTTTTAATCATAGAAACGATGCGTTTATGACAAATTTTCTTTGGATGACAAGCGTTTGTGACTAAGTTGTGATTTAGTCATAAACAACCATCACCATGTGCCTTTCCCAATCTTTGTGACAATAGCTCGTGACGAAAGTGATGGAATATGATGGTCATAAATTAAAAATCAATTTTCCCAATCTTTGTGACAATAACTCATGACGAAATTAATGAAATGTGATGGTCATAAATTAAAAATCATTTTTTTATAAAAAAGAACACCTTGGCACAGCCACGTGAGCACGCCTAGGTGGACTAGTGGGACCCACATGTAAGGTAAAATATTAACCGAAAAAGAATAAAAAATTGTGGTACTTCACCCCGTCGTCTAGGCGACTGTGGAATTCCGCCTTGTCGAACACTGCCCATAACCTCTTGTTGCAAATGCCCACCCACCTACTGAATTTTGTTGCATAAACCACCCAAATACGCACATACTTTGGCCAATTCTGCTTTGAGCTAGGAAAGATCAAGCTAGCCAAGTTAAACTTGTTTAAAGATGAGACTTGTTCATCATTTAATGTGAATCTAAAACTGTCACGATTGGGTGGTTATAGGGACGCGTCTTTAATGGATTTACCAATTTTAGGATATGTTATCTAGTTCTCCCATAGGTGTGTATGAGGTAAAGGGTCTTATGATGAATTTGCCAGTCTTAAGATCCATCCATTTAGTCGTAGTTTCCTAGAGGTAGAGCCATGTTGTCCAGATACAGATACGTGTATCGGATATGATCTGTATCAGATACACGGATACGCAATTCTCAAAAAATGAGTGACACGGGGATATGTCTAGAAATTTTTTTAATAACAAAATTACATGACTTAATATGAAAAAAACATAATGCTAGTAAATAAGTAATTCAACAACTCAATAAAACCACAACTACAGTAATAAGACATCGGATACAGGACCCCCATGGAGTATCTGTGTATTATAGGGTAGATGTATTTATATTTATGGTTGACTTCGTTAATATGATGATTTGCTGGTCTAGTCAACCATAGCGGTATACATGCATTCATAATTAAGCATCTTACATACCTTGTCTGCGAAACAATCCCTTTAAATGGCTGTTTTTTCTTTTCTTTTCTTTTGATGACGGCCCTGTTCGCTGGGAGGAATTTGAAGAAATCTGGATGAATCTGAAGGAATTTGTGAGAGAGTGAACATTGTTTTTCATCCACGCACAGTGAAATCCGCCGACGTGAAAATGGTCAAAGTTAAGGAACACTCCATGTTTTTTACGGTCAAAGCTAAGGTCCAGCCAGGATTGTCAAACTAACTGAAAAACGTCTCTTCAGCCCAGAAACAGGCCCAGTATATGCCAGTCCAGCACACTGCACATCCAAACAGCCCAAAGAGTCCGGGAAGGGAAAAGAGAGCTTGATTACCTGAAGTTGTCAAAGCACGCTTTTGCAGCTCGCCCACGCAAGCACTGGAGAGGCCGCGGCAGCATCGACTTCCTGAACAATCTGGCGGCGGCCGCGGCTTCTCCCAAGTTCACGAAGCGAGAGGGGCGAGCGAAGCGGCGACCTCTCGCCGGAGATGCCGCCGGGGACCTCTCCAGCGGCGGCGGAGGCTGAGGCATGGACGTGGGAGAACGCAGCGGCTGGAGCTGCCGCCGGGTTCGCCACGGTCGCGGCCCTCCATCCGCTCGACGTCGTCCGCACCCGCTTCCAAGGTAACCCTCTCCTCAGGCCATATACTCTAGGACTTCGGAGAGACTGAGACGAAGAGCGACGAACGGTAACCGTGCTCTCTCGTGTTGGCGTGCAGTGAGCGGCGGGAGGGGGTGGTCTGAGGTGCCGCCGTACAGGAACACCGCGCACGCTGTATACACCATCACACGATCTGAGGTATCATCAACTCC